CTTGGAAGCCCATTCCAAATTTTGGCCACCCTTACCGTGAAGAAGTTCTTCCTGATATCTAGCCTAAATCTGCTCTCTGTCGGTTTGTGACCATTGTTCCTTGTAACCCCAAGAGGAGCCCTGGTGAACACAGCATCTCCGATTCCTTGCTGTGTCCCCCTAATGAATTTGTAGGCCACAAAATCACCTCTCAGCCTTCTCTTATGGAGGCTGAAGGGGTCCAGATCCCTCAGTCTTTCCTCTTAGGGCTTGTCCTGTAAGCCCCTAACCATACGAGTGGCCCTCCTCTGGACCCTCTCGAGTCTATCAACATCCTTCTTGAAGTACGGTGCCCAAAACTGGATGCAGTACTCCAACTGCAGTCTGACCAATGCCACATAGAGGGGCAGTATCACCTCCTTGGATCTATTTGTCATGCATCTGCTGATGCATGATAAAGTGCGGTTAGTTTTGCTGATGGTTTCGTCACACTGACGACTCATATTCATCTTGGAGTCCACTATGACTCTGAGATCCCTTCCTGCTTCTATGCTGCTGAAAGGGTCACTTCCCAGCCAGTAGGTGTGCTGGATATTTCTGCACTCCAGGTGCAGCACTCTGCATTTGTCCTTGTTGTACTGCAGGGGTTTATCTCCCATCTGGCTGCCTTTGACTCTCCATTTTGAATGATCAGGAACCCAGTGACAGCCGAGTTAAGTGGGAACAGCTTTCAGCATAAGACCGCAGGTTTGAACCACACCCCTGGGGCTGTGCCCACATACATGTCTTAACTATTCTGGTATGGTGCTCCAAGCTATTTGTAAAACCCTCTTTCCCATTTCTCAGGCAATGGCTGGCTTTAGCTCCATATACAGTCACTTTCACATTTACACAGGGTACCAGGCAGTCTTACAGTCTGCCCTGAGTTCCACGCTACCAGCACTTACAGTGTTACCAGTACCCAGGTGGAATAAAGCTGGCTTAGATGCGTCTGTACATGCTCTAATCACACCTCTGATTGCAGTGTAGACACTGAAACACATGTCCCATCAAGTCTTTTAAACATTGTACTCATTGTTTCCTTGTCTGCTGAAAGGAGGGTCATTTCTTTATTGACTTCCAAATTTTCCAGCCTTTCCTCTTCATCACTAACACATCTTGTTATTGTTTAGCACAGAAGATGTATAGAAGGCATTCACTGCCTTGCATTATTTTGACTTGAGAGCATTTTATGGCCAGCCAATGAGATCCAGGGTCTGGAAGCTGAAACCTCAGAAATTCAAGCTAGAAATAACATGTATTTTTTAAAAGAGAGCAGTATTGGAACAATTGGAACATTTACCTAGGGACACGGTGGAGTCTCCATCACCTGAAGCCCTGAAATGATGAATGGGCATCTATCTAAAAATACACACTGGGTGCAACTATATGTGCAATTAAGGCAAATAAACAGTTTGCGACGGAGTCGACTGCTCCCAAGTGCAGCATCTACATGTGCACCCAGGGCCACAGCACTTTGAGCCAGGTCCCCTCTGGCCTTCGAATTTAGAGATCCCCTTGAACTTTCTTTGCACAGATGCAAATAGGTCCCCAAGGAGCTAGCGTGTATGGAACTAGGCCCTTAGTGCCCACTAAAGACTGATTACACTTCCTAAGGATGCATTGTCAAGTGTGGTTTTGAGTTAGGAGACTTGGGTTCCTTCCCTGATCCTGCCTCCTGCCTCCTGCCCATCAGTGTGGTCTTCAGATATTTATCTTCTTTGTATCTCTCTGCTTCCACTGCACAATGGGAGACAATGGCCACCTGTGCAAAGCATGTTGAAATTCCTAGATGGCAAATACTACGTAAGTGTAATTAATTATTGTTCTCCAACAAGCTAAACCGCATTCTGCTAGGTATATAGTACTAACTGGTAGATGATGACATATTAACAGAGAAAGAACTGATCCACAGTTTGAGTCTAGTTCCAGGTTACAGTAAATGGTTCACTGAAAACCTAGTTTTTTTCTTCAGTGTCCTACCCAAACACTTTCTTTCACAGGAGTTAATTTTCTTTTCAATACACCAACTGTGCCAGCAGCAAGGTGGCCATTATTGAAAATGTTTTTAGAGTTTATTTAGTTTTAAAAATATTTAAATCTCTCGAATATTTATGCGTCTAGGCTGAACAGAACAGACAATGTTTTCTGGCTGAGAGGGTTTGTTTGTCTGCTTGCCTTTTTATTTTTAAATGTATCCCCTTTTAACTTGCTGCCTTGCCATGCTACCTTCAGGATCCTTATAGCACAGCTGTTAGGAGCGCTGTCATTTAGAATTCATATCCAGTGCCAGCAATGATAGTGTTATCAGTCCTACAAATGTAATGTACAACCTTACACATTCCCATGTGCTAGGAGATTTTGCTTGTTGTATAACTTATGTGTATACCTCCTCCACCTCCCCCTGCCTCCTGGGGAGTGCAAGGGATAGAGCTGGCCAGTAACTGGAGAATGGATCTCTGTAACTAGAGTGGAGAGGAAATCCCTTATGACAGGCATTGCAACTCTGTGTTCTGCGGTGTGATGAGAAGATGAGAGAAGCACTGACTTTGATGCCAATGTGGCTGTGCTGCTAAAAGGAGCCAGAAAGAGAGAAGCCATGAGTTGAACAAAATAAATCTGAGATGAAGCCTTCAGGCTGTTCTTTGCTGGACAGCTGCTTATAGCCAAGGGTGAGCTCCCAAAGCTGTAAAAAGTTGTAAATAGTTCCCTGACAGTGAACAATCTGCAAACAGTATAACCCTTTTTGAGGTTTTTATGAATGACAGTGCATAAGTGCTACCTGCATCCGTCTAGTATGCATACTGTACCTGTGACCCTTGGCTGAGTCTTCTCTGGGAATGGCAATCATCTCATAACAAAGCTATCATCCCCCATTTCACTGCACCTCTCTGCAGGCACTCCCATGTCGGCAGAGATGCTGCAATGCTGTGGAAAAGGACTGTACATTCCTTCATTACAGAAAGGTCACACTGTAGCTTTTGCATAAAGGGTCTCTATCGTATCTCCATGAGAGATTTGTACAGCTCATGTAAGGGTGAGATGTGATCATTTCCATGTCAGGCTAGAAAGTTCTAGGAAACTTCTTTCAGGACCCAGCTGGCTGAGCTCCATCATGCTGTTATGGTAGGTGCTGGTGCTCATAGTCTTCCAAGTTTTTTTGCTTAGCAAGTGAGCAGCTGCTCAGTTTTGGAAAGACGTGCTGTTTCAGTCTGCAGATTTCCAGGAAGAGGAAGCCATACAAATAGCAGGAGAGATTGATTTCTGTTTTGGTCTCTGGTTGGCATTTGGAATCAGTTCTTGAAGCAGAGTTTCTCCCTAGAAACTGGATAGTAGTGTTAGGCTGGGATTCGTGGAAGAAGAGATTGTCCTGCATGCTGTTTAACCACCGTTATTCCTGGGCTGGCATACATGCACAAATTAAACAAACTAGGGCATACCCAATCTCTGCCTCACTGATGTCTTCTCCGCTGGGAGCAGTGTGCCACTCTGTTTTCAAATAAATACTTGAGGTTCAGTACAAAACAGACTCTCAGATGTCCCTGCCACACTCTCCCAGTCTAATACACCACAGCTTCAGAGGCAGGTGAACTCCAGAACACCTGACTGAGATTTGCAGTGTAAACAGAGAAACCCTTAACCACAGAGCCAGAATGGATTAACTCTGCTAAATTCCTCAGCATGTTGGATAAGTTTGGCTCAGATTTAAAGTCATACCCAGAAAAGTGAGCATGGAGAGCCCCAGCAGGGTGAGCAAAGCTTCCAGCAGCCTCAGGGAATATTGGACACATCAGGGAATTGTGGCATGCAAACAGAATCTCAGATGGTGGACCAGAGTTATGCTATTCCAAACAATGAGGTCTAGCAAGAATCCTTGCAAGTCACTAGGTACAGAAACAAGTCCTTGCAAGCTCAGAGATATTTTAACTCTGGTCCCATGTGATCTCAGAAATGAAGAAGTTGAGACACATCTAAGGACTATTATTTATTTAACCAAGCAAAGGAGCCCTTCTTGCATGTGAAGTTCAACCCTGGCCTTGGAGCAAAGTAGGAACAGCCATGCTTGTTAGAACTAATCCAAGCTCTTTCACCATTATTTATTATTCAAGCTTTTGCCAAATCAGTGTTTTGCAGTCAGGGACCGTGGTAAGAAGCAGCTGGTACTGTGTCTTTGTTGACATAGTAACAACTGGCAAAGACTGATAAGGTTACTGAGGACCAGTGTTCAATTTGGTGCAGAGGTCAAGCTTGTAACATCAGTACCACAGCCCAGCCCATCTAGCCAAGAGTCAGAGTAAAGATGGTGAAGCCCTGCAGACATCTCTGCTGCACTCCATGGATGGACTATCCCAGTGGATAGGTACCAGCACCAGCCTTCTTCAACAGCTAGTGGCTATAGGAAACCAAAGAGTGCTCCAACAACCAGTAAGTTACAGCAGGCCAAGGGTTCTGGGCAGAGGAATAGACTGCAAGATTCAGCATTGGCACAAGCCCACAGTGAACTAGGGTCAAGGAAGCAAAGTACTGCCAAAACTGCATGCAGGAGAGTGAGGGGAAGCCATTCCAACCTGCTGATGGCCAGCCACTCCAGATGGCCATGCTGGTCAGGTGGATGGATAGAGCATCACCATGAACCCATCACAGATGCTAAGGAAACACAACTGTACCACTGTGATGTGTCTGACCAGGGCTCCCTGGGGTGGGCCTGGAGTGGAGTCCAGGTCTGATGAAGCAGAGGGAGCTCGTTGTCCAAAGGAAGATGATACTGACCCTGTGCATGTTCTTCCAGCACTAGAGACCATTTGTTTTTATTTTCTTTCTAGTGTGTTTTCTATCAGACAAGAATTCTAATCTTTTAAGGGACCCAATCCAGACCTCACAGAAAGTAAGAATATAAGAGATGCCACACTGGGTCAGCCCACAGGCCCATCAAGCACAGGCACTGTGTTTTACAGTGGCACCGAATGGATGCTAAAGAAAAGAGTATTTAGGCAGGTTCTATTTAGACTGATCCCTCCCCTGCTCCTTCCCCCTTACATCTTCCAGCATTTATAGGATGACGAAATCCTAATTTGGAGGTTGCAGCCTTAGTTGTCATGTGTAAAACCAAATGATAGATTTATTGAATCCTCTTTTGAACCTGGTTAAATTATCATCCTCTACAACATACTGTGGCAATGACTTCCACAAGTTAATTATATGTTGTGTGGAACCTCCCCCACCTTCCTTTTCTTTGAATCTGCTTTCTAATAACTTCATTGTATGTCCCATACTGCTAGTATTGTGAGAAATGATTCATAATGAATCCCTACCTACTTTCTCTGCACCATTCATAATTTAAAGCCCTCTATTATATCCACCTTCAGTCATGTTTTCTCAAAGACTTCACATGCCCCTGATTATCTTTGTTGCCCTTCTCTGTTCCTTTTCTAGCTCTGTTAAAACTTTCTGAAAGTGGGGGAGACCAGAACTGCATGCATTATTCAAGTCGGTGACATAATAATACTGTCTGTCCTGTTTTCAATTCCTTTCTTGATATTCTCAGCAGTCTATTTGCCTTTCAGACTACTGCTAAGCACTGAGCCAGTTTTCTGAGAAAAGATGTATCATAATTCCAAAGTCTCTTTCTTGAGTAGTAACAGAGAATGCGGAGTCCATCATTCCTTATCTCACATTAACTTCACTATGCGCTAAATCAAGCCTAACAACCCAGCTGTTACCCCTCCATTTTCTTCATTCTTGCATGGGAATATGTGAAATGAATGTTACTAACAAGCCAGAGCTCTCTCTGGGAAAGAGCATTTAGCCCATCATCCCCACTTTATCAGTTTCTTTTCAAGAACTTGTAAGACAAAATTATCTTGTGAGATTACAGTCCTTAAATAATACACATTCATCATGAACACTACCTCCAGAGCAGCCTCCTTCAGCTTCCATACTCACACTCAGCTTGATGCCTTTTCCACAGGGTTCTCCACTAAAGGAATGAAGGAAGGAAAAGCCTCTAGACTCTCTGGCTGATTCCTATGTCTAGCTAGGCTGAGAGCTGCCCATCCTAGGAGCTACCTGAGCTCCCACTGCACATGGCTGACAGGGTACAAGCAGGAAAGTCCCATCTCCTTACTCTAGAGCAGTCTGCCCCTGACTCCTGGTGACAGTATCTGTGCCTCGGCAGCCTATTGTCCTCCTGGCCATGGAGTTGTTGGGAAGCAAAGGCAAAGTCCACATAGGCCTGAAGCACCTGACTGCTGTAGGGGAATCTATGAACCTGCATTAAGCACCTGAGCTCCCTACACTGAACATGAGGAAAGTGAAGTGCCTAGGAGCAGGATTCATTTTTCAATGGATCAGGGGGCCCCAAAACTGTATCTTGCAGGGGACCCCAAAAAATTGTGGGCTGGCCCTGCTTGAAGTGGACTTTTGATTGGAGTCCTCAGTCCCTGAGAGAGAGCTGTTCTCAGTACCTGGGTGGCAAGTGGAAGGAGTTGGTAGAGAAACTCCTCAGAGAACAGGGATGTCATTGTATGGTGTGTCATTGGTTGACCATGGGGAAGGGCAGTGTTAGTATAGGGAAGAATTGGTGTGGAAAGGATGAACTGAGGCCTGAGACAGCCTGTTCATCAACTGAGGAGGGAAAGGGGAAAGGGAAAAGCAAAGCGGGGTTGGGGGGAAAGAGGCATGAAGGAGACTGGAGGAAAAGAAATACAGGGCCCCCAGCTGTAGCAGCCCAAGCTCATACTGCTGCAGCAGCAGTGTAGAGAGCCAGGACAGGTAAAATAGTGCACCCCGTCACCTTCTTTCCCCCTCTCTCCCCTCTCCAGTGGTTGTCACAAACTCACATCCTGCTCCCTTGGCACTGAAGAAGTTCAATGAGGAGCACTGGGGGAAAGGACTAAGGAAAGGGAAAGAGGAGGGTGAGTTGGAAAAGGAATTTTCCTGGAGTTTCCTAGGTCAATGTTAAGCTGATGAAAGACAGAGAATAGCAAGAAACAGAAAGGACAGAAGGGCACAGATTGAAGACCAGCTCCCCATTGCAACCATAGCACTTTGCAGGAAGCACTATGAGTTGCAATGATCTCCTGGAACAAACAGAAGTTCACTGTTGTGTCTGGGAGTTGGGGAATCCAGCTGCTTGCTGTGAGCCTGCAGCCCAGTCTCTGTAGCAACACCACACCCTGTCCCAGCCTGATACTGTTTTTAGAAAGGGAGGAGGAGAAAGGAAGTGGAGAGAGCTTGTTTTTGGGGTTCCCCATCCAGCACTGGAGGGTGGGGTGGGTGGATTGGAGCACCACCCCTTCCATCTGAGGAGGGCTCCAATACATCTGCCCCACCTTCCTGCACCAGCTGACAAAAGCCCAGACCAAACTCCCTCTGCTCCTTTTTCCCTCTCCCCTTCTGAAAACAGTGACAGGCTAGGAGCTTCACAAACACGAGTTTTGAAGCATGTTCATCTGAACCCTCATACAGTGAGGGTTCAGATTTTTGTGGGATTGGGCCCTTTTAAAGCAGTCTGAAGCCATGTACTTCTGTTTGGTCACGGGTGTAGACTGTGACCAAACAGCTTTCTGGCTATCTGGAGCTAGATCAGGCAAAAATTGTCACTTCCATCTGTGCCCTAAGAGCTAAGCCAGCAGTGTCTGAAGGAGGCTCAGGAGAGAGGGGAGTAATGGAAGACATGATCACCCTGCCTCTTCTCCTTGTCCCCATCTCTTTCCCCTCCATTCTCTCCCCCCTCCCCCTTGCTCATAGATTTGCCCTGGTTTAACTAACCTGTGAACAATTCTCTTCAGCTGGGGCAAGCTAACCCTGTACAGACAGGTTTGAACCCTCCAACATGTCCACACACAGGTCCACCCACTCTGTTGAACAGCCTTAAACTCACCCCTTCAGTAAAGCAGTGTCCCTTTTGTCCAAAAGTACTGGGGGGGGATGAGAAAGAGAGTGTGGGAGAGAGTAGATTTCACGTGCACACTCACACTCACAGAGTAAACAAGTGCACACATATGAGCAGGGCAGTTAGACACGAGAGGGGAAAAAACAGGATATGTGGAGCAGGGAATAGAGGGCAGGAAGTTTGGCCAGAGCTGGGGCATGGGGGAGGGATTTTGGGAGGGGAGGGCAAACACTTGACATGTGCTCTCAGGCTGTGTACACCTATACACTTCCTGGGGAGCATTGCTTCATAGCTTGCTGCAAAGCCTCTGCTGGAAAGTCTGGGGCCTGGCTCTGGAGATCCTCCTGGCACTCCTCAGAAAGGGACAGCCTAGCCTTCTGGCATTCCAGCAGGCTCTTACAATGGCTGTTTGATTAATGCTGCTGCAGCCCTTTAGATTTAAAACAGTATTGAGAAAAAGTCAAAAATTATGGTTATTACATTGCTTTGTAGAGTTGGAAGTCACATAGTAGCACAACACAGCACCACCACTCCTGCTTCTGCCAGGTGGGCAGGGGGCACCTCACCATGGTGGCGCAGGGCTCCCGGTGGTGGCACCAAGGCTCCCTGCCCTGCTCTGCCCTGCTATGCTGGGTCCTGCCCACTGGGCCATGCAGGCCCCCAGTGGGAAGGCAGCAGGGTGGGTAGCCTTGAGCCACAGTGAGCAGCCCACATCCACTCCTGCCCCATCCACAAAACCAGGGGGCATGTGCCTGCCCACTTCTCCTACCTTGGGAGTGCACACAGTGGTAGGGAGTTGTCTCCCTGCCACCCTCTGGACAAAGCTACCCATGATTCCATTCCACTCCCTGCCCAGGTCCCAAGCCGCAGGCCCCACGCACCCCCCCTGCTGGGCAGCGCCCTCAGCCCAGCCCTAACCAACTCCCTCCCTCCCTCACTATGGGGGCCTGAATCCTCCCTCCCGACTTATCTGCAGGGAGCAGCTCTCCATGCTGCCTGACTGCCACGTGCATGTGTGCATGCACACATGCACATGGTGCCCTCTGCCTGATTGCCCTCCTCCCACTCCCGCCAGCCCCTTGCAGGTTGCATCTCTGCTGGTTTGAAAAGGGAAACCTGCCATTTTCTGCATTTTTCGCCTTCAAATGACAAAATTCGGTTTTTACTGCAGTGAATGGAAAACCCAGATCCCTGCTAATCAGCTTCGAGTAGCAGCAGGGTTCACAGGACATGTTCGCAGGGTTAATAGGAAGTTCACAGGACACTCTCATCCCATACTTCAAGTACCATAATGATCAGTGCCTGCACGATCATGCTGTACCTTTTCTGCTTCAGGGTATCTATCATTGGCATTCAAGGAGGCCTCATACCTGTCTTGCCTACTGAGGCCAGCAGCCCCCACCAGGCCTCCCCTCACACTTCCTATCCTCTGCTTTGTTACTGACACCACAACAATGCCCCTTTCATTCCCCTCACCGACAGACTACTCCCTGCCTTCTTCTCTGCTGTTCTTCTGAGAACATCTTCCCAAATTCTCTTGCCTTCCTCAGTCGCTGCCACAAAAAATGATCACCTAAAATCTTCTAACACCAGTCAGCATGATCAGTCATTTTAAAGGTTAACTGTAGTGGCCTGCAAAATTCTTCTAAGTGGCTTTGCTTGCTGCTGCAGGGCCTGGACTTCTTGTAGAAAGACATACAGGATGGACTGTGTGTCTCCATAGCACTTTTACCTAGGCCACTGGACTACAGATCCTCTCTGTGCCCATCACTGCTGATATCATAGTACATTATGGCAGAGGCTAGAACTGCACAGTGACAAACTTGTTTCCATAAGCTCAGTGCCTTGTTCATTGTACAGGCAGGCAACTCATGGAGACTGAACCATGTATGTATGGACATCCGTAAGTCTGGCACTTGACCTAAATAACAATTTTTAACATCATTTGTCTTCATGAAAGATCTAATATCTATTGGAGTTAGTGGTAGCAAGTATTGTACGTGGTAGCAAGTATTGTACTCACACTCAGCCCTCAAAGAGCCTTTTAGGTCTTTATATAAAGAGAAATTACATCAATCAACAGGATGTTGCACAAAACATATGGAAGAGTATCTTGTTCTGTCTTGCCACCTTCTCTACTATGAATTACCACTAGCACAAATGGGTTTCAGTGGCAATTTACAGCATCAGGGATTGTGGCTTAGAGAACATAGCAACTTGGCAGCTTATATGACTGCACAATCAGACTGCAACAGTTAGCTCCCTCCTTAATGCCTACTATCAAGCCCTTCAGGCAGGTCATGGCTTTTCAGAGCTGAGACAAGATAACATATATTTGGGTATTGCAGTCATACCTCTGGGGATTATTCAGTATCCTGGTACCACAGAGCTGGGTTTCTGTGACACTTTGGGCACATCTATATGTCACCCTACGTCACCATAGCAACTTGCTACATCGCTGTATGATGCGCTGTGGTAACGTGATCCCATGAGTCTACAGGTGACCAGCAGCTACTTTGCTGTAGCAGCACACTCCCATTTTAGCACTCTGATATGGCGAAGTAATGGCTAAAACTAACTGTGCACTGTGCACACAGTGTAATCCAGGCAGTTATTGCACTGTGCTTTAGTACTTCCAAAAGGAAGTACTAAAGCATGGCGCAGAAACAATGTTGCTGTGGGGCAATATGTAGACACCCCCTTTTTCTCTTTTTTTCCTGCCCGACTAACCTTTCAGGTGCTAAGATAATTCTGTCAGAAAGCAGCTCAGCAACTTTGAGCCAAAGTACTGAGAAGCTGCTTTTTCTGCTGATGACTAAGCACACTTTACTGCCTCAGCCCCTTAACTTTCTGCAGATGGTGTTATAGTCCTTGAGAAGTGTCAGTATTTTACTTTCATTTCTTGTTTTCAGTCAGAAGCAGATACTGTAAGGCATGATTGTAAGCAAATGGGCACACAAAGCGGATGCTTAATCTGTGCATTTCTCATCTGTTGTTTATTGCCATACCTGATATCATGCAGTAGAGTTTGGGACAGAGTCTAATGTCCTTGGAAATTATTAAATTATTCTCCCTCCATAAATATGCCACAGGAGCCATTCACATACACTGGTCTTGTTCACCATGAGTAAAGGCAGTGGCATTGGCTGCTCTTTGGGAAATTCCCTTTTGCATGAGTCCACATCAGCCTCTGGGTGTTTCCCTATTTAAATATGGGAAGTATTGAATAAGTTGACAAGCACCACACCATACTCAGGTTTGTCACAGCAGCTCTGCTGGCTTTTAATGAGGCATCTTGCCTTACTAAATCAGAAACCAGGCCACAGCTTTCCATATTCTTTCAGGCTCAAGAAATAGGAGGAGGAAGTGGATCCTTGGTTATTGCAGGCTGGGGGAATACTCATCAGCAGGGATCAACATGACCCTCTGCAGACTGTGCACTGTGTCCCTGGGCACAGCTAGCTGTATATTTAAATTCCAACTATGCTTTTGCAGTGTCCTGTCCTTCACTGGAAGCCCCTATGGATGGCAGAAAATTTGGTACCAAGTACTTGGTGGACCATGAAGTCCATTTCACCTGTGAACCTGGTTTTCAGCTCATTGGTTCCAGCACTCGAGTGTGTCAAGCAAATGGCAGCTGGACTGGAGAGGAACCTCAGTGCAAAGGTACTTTTGTCTGTTCATTCCTTTGGTTTGAGTGGATGAGCCTTTCCTCATGTCATCAAATGGGCCTGGACATACAGATCATGTCACGGTTACATGAAGTGTATTTTCTGTGCAAGAAAGACTAATTCATAACCTGAGTTCTCATTTCATCTATTGCCTCCCTTTGGCTTGTTATGTTATTGCCCCAGCTCCAACTTCTTGAATAATAAGTAAGTGGGAGGTGGTGGGGCTCATTTTAAAAAAAACTAACCCATTAAGGATTTTACTGCTGAATATTATGCTTTTTATTTAGTGGCAAACAGGACCTGCAAACCTGGTGCTTATCTCAGTGTCATTTTGTTCTTTGCATTGCAAATAAATGCCAAAGACAGGAGAAGTTGAGTATCTCTGCCTGTCTTCTTCTACCTGCAAAAACACCCAGCTGGTCATTTGCAGGCCTTATTGAGCCTCTATGCTTGAATCTGGACTTGGAGGGTGTATACTGAACTGGAAAAAAATTGTTCAGTGTCCACTTACCTTTAGCTTGAAGCCTATCTTGAATAATAATGGTTGGATACAATGCATTGTAAACGATTCGTTCAGCTAGTTTTTAGATATGGACAACAGGATTCCATAGTCCGTACAGTGAGCCTCTCATCTATCTGTTCCCTTTTTTGTGTCAGTTTCATTTATTGTGCTTAGAGCTAAAGATATGAGCACAAAACTAGTTCCTTAATAGACAGTTTATTTCATAATAATAAATATCAGCTTCTGAAAAGAGGCTGGCACAGCACATCTATAATAATTCCCCTCGGATGCTTATTTGGAAAATTGCCTCTCTGTCAGTGTGTGACTGATCCAGATTTGACAAACATGAAAATTATATATAATTACATCTATTAAAAATAATTTACTGGGCAGAAATATACTCCATGATGGCTAACAGGCATTTGGCTTAATGCACCAGTACAAAATGTGTCGGGGGGGGGCCGTTGTTGTTTTTTTTGTTTTTTAAAGGTCTGTTTTTTCCCCCCCCAGAACTGCAAGGCTGATCAAAACTGGTAGATGTCTGCAGCCCTCTCTGTATCCCTCTAGCCACAGAAGAAATGCAAGAAAAAAAAAATCCTCCCTTACCAAAAGGAAGACCCCCAAAAACAAAACAAAAACCAACAACCTAGGAGCTTTTACTCAGAGCTGTTTGCCTCTGCTCAGGGCCAGTAGTCCAAGGAGCTGTAGCACTGGAGTAATGGTTCAGAACCCGAGTTCTGTTCCTTGCTCCGCTTCTCCTGCCTTTGCACAAACTACATGATCTCTCCTGAGCTTCAATCCTCCCTCTGTAAAATGTGGACATGCAAGAAACATCCCTCTCAAATGAGGTTCTAATTCTCACTTACATTATTGTAACAGCTACAGATCAAGAGGGTTGACACCTCTTCCACCCTTTCACTGCTGTGCACAGGACTCTGGGCCAAATTCTAGTTTCATTTACAGCACTTCGTAATTGGTGTAACTGCACTCACTTCCTTGTGATGACTCGGAGTGTAAGCCAGTGTTAGTGGGATTGGAGCCTGGCCTTATGCCTGTATTTACCATACTAGTCAGGGAGACCTTTGGTATCTTGCAGTACATAGTTCACCCAGTGACCTGCCTCATTTCAAGCATGCTGGTGTTTCCACACCCTTAAGCATGGTGGGTTGTAAGGAAACTGGTTAGAGGGGAGGCACATTTACACTAGCCCAGCCTCTGGCACCAGGTTATTTGTTCAAGATTGTCCCTTCCACCCAGGATAAACACGTGTGACACTGCAGATCTAGGGCTCTTATCCAGATAGAGGGGGAGGAACATCTCTCTGCATGTAGAAGAGGCATGAGCTGTAAGAATACACGGAGCCAGGGTTCCCCCTCCCCTGCATCCAATAAGCTGTTCGCCAGATCACCTGGATACTCAGGGATAGGATTAGGGGGCCAAAGGGGAACCTAGGACTCTCCCCGATTCATGTTTTCACTACCAAGGATTCTGCTGTAGCTTTCTGCACTGAACCAGACTGCTGGCATTCTCCAAAACTACACACAGTAACTGCAGGGGGCAGATAGCGTGATCCTATGACCCCCCCCCACCCCAAGTCCATAGCAAAGCTCCCATTGTGCTCAGTGAGCCAGGATCTGGCACCCATTCCTTCTCCCCATTCGTTCCAAATTCCCAGCAGGAAAAAGATGAGAGTCTATAGCTCAGGTCTGTGCAGTGGTGATGAAAGCATTCATTTTAGAGCATTTTTGAACTGGAGCAATTTTACCACCACCATTCCCCCCCTCCCCATGTGATTTCATTAAATACAAACCTCTGCCATCTGCAGGCCAGTGCACTAGCAGACTGAAACCCCTTGAGCCTAAATTCTTGGCAGTGATCCACACCATTTGCAGCATTCAACCACTACAAATAGGCTGGAGACTAGCCAGAGCACCTAGACAGGGGATCCCTCCAGTGGGAGAAGAAATCTCCAGTGGGTGTAGACTAAGAGTAGCTGGCTTCTGCATGCCACATGGCACATGGGACAATGCTGTGTACTGTGGCCATGTCAGTTCCCTCATTTTAGCAGCTCTTCTCTGGCTAAAGGCACCTTAGTGCCAGTCAGCAGTGGTTTTTGAGATTACAGCAAGTTGCAAGACTAATCTCAAGCTCTGGAGGGTCTTGGAATTGACCCCACACTTAGGGTCACAGGGAATGGAGGTAAGGAACCAGTAGCAAAGCTGGGAGGAGTGAGCAGGGCTGTCACATGCTGCCCAGCCATAGGAGCAAGTCAGATGCAGCCCTTCACTCAGTGTATCTGGGAAGCAGGGGGATAAGTGGAATGGCAAGACATAGTTTAGGCTGATTTTAAAACTAAAGCAGTAAAAAAAAAAAAAAACCCATACACACCACACACACAGTTTGGATATTTCCATCTGAATGGACATTGACCACATGGATCAGCAGAGGCTTGAACTCAGGAGAACAATGCGTTATCTGGGGCTTTTTCCGCTGTGTACAAGTCACTTCATTGCCTCATTCCTCAGTTTCTGCAGAATGAATATAATACAGATTACTGGCTTTATAAAAAGAGATCCACAGATTACAACAACATCAGTATTCCTCTTGCTATCTGCTGTTTAAGTCAGTACCCTCCTTAAACTTGCTTTTCGAGTCCTAAAATAAGTCAGTCATCCCCAAAACTCAGAATTCCTGCAAAAGCTGCAAGGAAAAGTTTAGAAAGAGAGCATGGATGAGGGGGCAAATGCCTATGTAAGCATAAAATAAGTTACCCAGATAATAAGCTGTCATCCAAGTGATGCTGTCTGGGTGGGAGGGCTCCAAAGATAGGAATCTTTTTCTTAAAAAAAAAAAAAAAGTTTTCCCAATTATAAAATAATCATGCAATATGATGCACATTAATAACATCCAGTATAGATGAACAACCACCATATCAGACGCATACTTTTGCAAATATGCAATCCACAATCTGCATCCCCATCAATTAATTCTTGATGGTTTTGTGTTCCACTCATGGGGAAATACCTATTCTCCTTGAGATGAGAGAAACCCTTCCTGCACTGTATGGAATTCTTTGATTTTTGTCATGAAGTAAATAAGAAATGTTGTCCACATCACAAACTTCCCACAGCTTGACCCAGTCAGCAAGGGGAGAGGTTCAGCAAAGGGGCTGGAGATCAACTCTAAGATGCTTTGGCAGAGCTATGAGAGAGAGAGGGTTTGGGGACAAGCCCTACCCCCTGCTAGTCTTGAATCTATTTAGTAGTTTTTCTTCTCCAGTGATCTGTAGGGAATCATTTAACTTGGGCATTATTATACAGTTAGGCGTGTTTAAGTTTGCTACTATTGGATATAAATCATGCAATTTATTCTGGATAATGCCCACGTAGGAGTCTTTCCAAGCCTAAAAAAATATTTCACCCTCCTGCAAACATACAGTTCCTGTAGTTCACACACTGAGACTCAGTGAGTGGGGAGTTTCAGATACTACACAGTGAAAGTGCTGTTTGTTTAAGGGAATTCCATCACATTGTCCAAAATGCTAATGGGCCATTAAGCTACTAACACATACCCCCTGCATTGCTGTAATCGTAGAATGCTATAGCTTTCTATTAGGGCTTGCAAATGGAAGTCTCAGGAGATTATCTCAGCTATGTTAGGCAGGCTGACAGCCTGGAATCCCTGCAGAAAGAAAGTAGAATGAGCCATTGAATCCTCCCAGGCTCATTACACACACACACACACAATAAAGGTTTCTTTATGAGGCTTTCCTTGACATGAGAATGCTTGGCAACCAACTTTGGCCAGGGAACCCTCTCCTTGTTGAACACCTGTGCAGTGACTCTATCTTGCATCTGCATCCAAAGATGTTATCGCCTTCTGTCTCTTGGTCCTGGCCCCTTGCACACAACTGCTGTAGAAAGAAAGATATGGGGGTTAAGGCTTTTTGACTTCTTGTTCAGAAACTTCATGGTCCAGCAGTCCTTAAATATTCAGAATATGCTATTGGTGACCAAACAAGCTGAACTTTTAGCAGCTGCTAAGGACTTGTTATCCATGTGGAATTCATAGCCTGTTTCCTCACTGACATTCCTCTGAACTAATGACTTAAGAACCGAACACACTGAGCAGAGGTGAAACCACTGCCTAGGTAAACAGGGATTTGGAAGCATTCCGATCAGACACAGCAAGACAAGTCTTCTGGTCGTAGTTTGCTTCCATCAAATTTTTAAGCTGAATGAAAAGTCCTGTTTAAATGCTTTGTTAAAACAAAACACTTGGGAAGCTTCCCAGTCTCAGTCAATAACAGTCTGGTATCTCAAGATGTGGAGAGAAGTAGTTAGCCATGTCAGTCAGAAGGCATGGTAGATATGCACCTTTTATAAGTTAGCTAACCAAGGTATTTAGAGAGAGCACAAGCTTTCATGAAAGCAAAGTTCATCTCATCAGATGCTGTGAAAGGATGTGCACAAAGCAGAGAGAAATTAAAAATAGAAAAGATGGGGGCAAGGTAGGGGTGGAGAGTGCAAGAGATTAGTGCTAGAAGAGACAAGAAAAAGAGCAGTAAACCCATAAGAACAAAGGGTATCGCAAATACAAATCCAGGTAGTGAGGTAAGAATCCACAGGCCCCATTTAACACAGTCCAGTTTGTGAATAACAACTTGTTCTGCAATTTCTTGCTATGCAAACAGCTTCTTGGGTTCAGTCATCTTTGTCGTTTGACTATTCAAGATAGTTTTCAGATAGATTGGCTGGGCAAACTCTCTTTACAAATCACAGCAAAAGCATTTGTTCCTCCCAAAATAATAAGTAGTATTCTGAAAGATCACTTGACCGGTGCTATTAGACAAGCTGGCAGTGTTCCTAGTGATACACATACAGACTTCAGCCAATACAGACAAATGCACATAACTGCAGCCTCTAAGATAATACTTGGGAAGTTATATCATGCAGTCATAACACCCCTTGACAAGGGATGGATTAATTAAAAATCCAAGCCATGATTTTCAAGGATAGCGGCTTTGGCTTAGGCTCCCGAGGCCTAGAATCCCACAGATATGGTTCCTTGGTCATCTACATACCTGTTTGGTTTTGAACCCTAAGGGCACAATCCATAAGGGACTTAGGCTCAACAATATTGAACACTGAAGGGCCTCTCTCTTAGCACCCCCTGCCAGCCAGCAAAATCCACAGCCTAGGACAGAGTGCTCAGGTTCTACATAGTGTGCAGGCAGAAACCAGTGCCTCTGGATGGGATCCACAAGAGCCAGGACAGACTGAGGAAAGGGGTATAGCTTAATCCCATGCCTCAGAGTGAGCAAGGCACTGAACTCCTGGCAGCCATAGCCACGAGCCCTCCTCTGGGATGAAGTTTCCAAGCCAGCCCTCTCTCTCAAAACAGAGCTGGAATAGCAGGACGCTCCCTTTTACCCAATAGCCAAAAGTTAGAGCACTTCCTGGGAGACCCAAATTCAAATCACACTTCTGACAAAGAGGACCTAAGCCTATGGATGACCAGGCTACAGCATAGTCTGGAATCAGGCACTCTTAGTCTGCACTGACCCTGGACATGCTTTCACCACAGGCAAGGACCAAAAATCAGGTTTCTCCCCAGCTAGCCAAGTGCCCTAATCACAAGGAGGTACAAGCTGTCTCACTAAATCTCTGCCCCAATGAATATTTAAGTAACTAGGCAAAGTAGAAGAGCTTTGACAGGAAGGACTGATGAAGATCCCCCTCTCCCCCAGAATAGCTTAGTGGTTAAGGTTATCTCTTGGAAGATGGGATCTTTGATTTCAAGTACAGCAAGGCAGAGGAGGGATTTGAACCTCTCCCAAGGGAGTGCTCAGACCACTGGGCACTTGGCTGAAGGGGGAAGGGGAGGGGATGTTCCTCCTCTGGTTTTAGGTTGCACAAAGTCTGGTTTAGGAGGCATGTTATCAGAACAGGCAGGCAAGACAGGTAGGGCAACACCTGTTCTGTGAACCCCTTGAAGCCTACACACATAATAAGCAAAGAGCTGCTTGCAGATTACAAAATGAAGAGGTATAACCATCACAAGAGAGGCCAAGTAGCGGATTGGTGGGTGTTAAGGGAACTTTACCAGGAAAATGTAGGGATCTAGAGTCTGTGTTATGATCTATAATTTTGGACTTAGGCCCATGCGGTTGCAGTTAGTCACTCAAGACAATATTAAGGCTCCCAAATCTCCGAATTTTAAAAGCACGAAGTACCTGTTACTTTCCATTAATACTTTAAGAGGTCTTAAAAACCTAAGCTTAGGCCATTGTTTTTTTTCTAAATCCTAACCCAATTATTTGTTGGTGGTGACTTTTATTATATTTGGTGTATTGTTATTACAAGTTATGGGTTTGACCCTGAAGACATTTTAAGGCAAAGCTCCCCTGAGCTCTATAGTGGGGCTATAGGATCAAACCTTGAGTTAATGAAATACAATCCACAGAATCTCTTTTAAAACATTTTTCTCTGCTCAGATGTCAGCAAATGCTCTAGTCACCCCTGCCAGAATGGTGGAACATGTATGGAAGGAGTACACCAGTACAAATGCATTTGTCCTCCAGACTGGACTGGAGCCAACTGCCAGTACCAGACACAAACAGGTATGTAATTTGCTTTGGCATGAGGGGGCATGAGAAGAAAGAAAGGCAAACAATGAAGTAACAGTCATGAGCCACTAACCAATCTCAGGTATGTAGACTCCACCTCAGAATGATGATAACTGACTGACATTGCAATGGCACTTAAGATGCCAACAAATATGGCCTTTGTGTTGCCATAAGGCAAAACAGACACCCATACCCCTTGTTGGGCCACAAATGTCCAAACTCGGTGGCCATGATGAAAGTGGTATCAATTTGTGCTACTATTTAGTAGCAGAGATCTATTTACTTTAGGGTACAAGAAGACAGGCAACCCAGAGCTGCCTACACTTTCTAGCTGCCCCCCAACAGGTAATCCATGGGTTTAAGGGACCCAGTCCCACCTGGCAATTCCTAGCATGCACAGGTCCAGGCCCCTCAAGCTCTGGGAAAATACATCACCCATTGTTTCACAGTATCAATGAGCGAGACAATGGGCAATGTGCATTTCACCCAGTGAAGCAGATCAGCTGCACCAGGACATATCCTAGCACAGCTGATCCGCTTCATTTGGCAATATCTATTTCTAGCCTTCGAGGCTCTGTTCTCACACTGTGCCAGGTGCTGTACAAACATAACAAGAAGGCCTGTCCCAAATGCCTTGTAGTCTAAGCAACTGTGCTTCATGAACCTTCAGACACCTGATAGTGTCTAATCAGGAAGAAGAAATGTCATGAGGCTGAGGGAACCAGCCATGCAGTATGATTCATGAATAATAAATATTGAAAGTTAACAGACTATGAATAAGTTACTGCCTGGATGAAGCACCCACAGGAATCTGCCTGCTTACTAGTGCCTTCCCAACCCCACTTCACCTCCTATGACTTGCCTGCTATAACTTCAGTGTTGTTTTTTGTTGTTGGGGAGGGGTCCCTGTGAGTCCATAGTCACATCATGGGCTGATCTGTCTATCCTAACCAGCCACACCCGGAGCCCTCTGGCTTCTCCTAGTACTTCCCCTTTGAAGGGGACATCCACATAGGATTCAGCACTTGTCAGGTTCTCAGCATCACTGCCTTGGCCCCTTTTTTCCTCCAAGGCCACACCCTCCATTTGAGCCCACCAGTCAAGGCCTCAGCCTCCCAGGTTCAGCCCTACCACAGCAGTAAGCCCCTTTCTAGAGTCCACTTTCACCTCAATCATCTCTGCCCCTCTGTCTCAGGGCTTCAACTCTGGTGCTAACTGCAGGAAGGCTGCCCCGAGGCACCCCTGTCCATGGTCTGCTCCTCCCCTTACAGCCATAATCTAGTCCTCTGGTAGATTTAACCAAAACACAAATATCCACCCAACAGCTGTAAAACAAAAAAATCCTCCCAACTCTGCATTAATACTTCCCTGTAAGCTGGGAGTTCCCCTTGGCCTCTTCTTCACAGCACGCTAAGATTCTTCTAGCGCTGGTCAGCCTGCCTCCTGCAACAGCTTTACACAAGAGCTCCTCACCCTGATGCCTTCAGGGCCAAACTGACTCTTTCCAGCTCAGGGACTGGGTTTCTATTCCTCAACCCAGCCCCTTTCCAGTCACCTGATTGGCCCTTTTTTTCCTCTTTCCCCAGGGCCAGGTGCAGTTAATTGCCTCATTAGCTGCTTGATCCCTGGCTCTTTTACCGATTCAAGCCCTCCTAGTAACATGGGCAGAGCTTCCCAGTTACACTGGGTATTATTCCTCTAAATTATCAAGGGAGTACCCATAAATATCAAATCAATTCATATAAAAAGAAAATAAAGATTGGCTTGCAAATGATTCTTTATTCAACAATGGGACTTGATTTACAATGAGCATTCTTCAGAACAAAGACTACAGCTATCTCCATGAGTGGCATTCCTTCAAAATGAACATACATACAATTTCATCTGTGTTGAAATGAACATTGTTTCTGGGGATATACAGTAGGCTGGGCTTTGGGATTAAAAGTGACGTACATGAATGCAACCTGCGACTCTTACACAGAACGTTGTGAGCTACACCTCTGTTATACTGAGTAACCCATTATTTTGTTTCTTTTTTTTCTTTTTTTAGATATTAGGATAAAACAATACAATCCAGATCTGAGTTTCATTTAGCTGATCATCCTGAAAGCCTTGTAATAAGCAAATGTTCCTAATGTGAGGATCAATACGAATTGTAATGCCCAGGTTAGAAATACATGAACAATAAACTGAAGTCACAGGAGTCTGCTAGGAAGATAGGGGTACCATTTTCAAAGGAGTCTTAGCAACCCAATGGAACCAATGGGCAGGGAGCCTGCTTCAATGCACCGGAAATCCAGCGCATCACAGCAGACTCGATTAATCAAGTCTGCTGGAGCATGGAAATTGATGCTCTTGCTCTGGCAGCTTTTTGCGTCATGTATATCAGCATCCCTGTGTGTCTCCATGCTGAAAAAATGGCAGCAGGGCACTTTGGAATAAAACACATTCAATGAGCTTTATTTCAAAGTACCCTGCCGCCATTTTTTCATCATGGGAACGTGCAGGGATGCTGATACACATGACGTATAGGCACTTTTAATTAGCGCAGCTTGCTGATTAAAGCACCCGGTGCTGCATCCCAAACCACATGTAAAAATGCCTAATGGTACCAATCCCTTTGAGGATCTGGGCCTTACGAGTTTAAGCCTCAGTGGCTATCACTGAGGCAGAAACTCCTATGGGTCACATATTTAGAGGGATTTTGCTATCTATAGATTCAGGGAGGTGCCTACTCTACTAGATGCATTCTGTCATCTCTAGGCACTTTATATGTATAAAAATCTTGTCTGAAAAGCCTAGGTGACTTAGACACTTTAGAAAATGTTAACATAGGGCTATAAACCAGTTGTCTTTAATCCCTTTAAAGTTTTCTTTCATCTCTCTCAGCACCACCTTCATGGAGTGTTACAAATGACCCTGCTTTCAGTCGTAAGCCACGCTGTGCCAAAATTGACAGGACACAGCACTGTAGCTGTGAGGCAGGTTTCCACATGAGTGGCACAGCAGACAATAGCATTTGTCAAGGTAAGAGAAAAATCAAGATAATCTTACACAAGTCCCATTGCAAATATACCAACAATGCAGTTGGGCACTTAAGTATCCAGAAGCTGAAATCCTGGATACTGACTCATTTACTGACAATTACTGTGCTTGGAAAGGTCTGTGTGTTGCCTGAGAAAGCATGCAACTGATCTGAACCTGGTTTTATTTATTATACTTTTGCAGAAGGACTGCAGCTTTTTTCTTTATCATGCCATGCTGTAAGCAGGTCAAGAATGTGGCACAGCTTTGGTACTCTCCTGCATATCCTCTTAGGTTTGGGGGCTGGAGACAGGAATCCATGTTTCAACATACATGAAATTTTATGGGATCTTCCTACCCTTCAGCCATGGTTTTTAAAACTGTGAAGTAATTTAGATTGCCACAATTTCGGCAGGCCTGACCTGAGGCGCCTTTAAGACTCATATTTTTCAGAGAATGGGTGCTCAATATTTTATGAAATTCAAGAGTCTTTAAGGTGTCCCAAAAGCAGTACTAAAAGGTAAGGGTGCTCAAAATCACTCATCTCTTTGTGGGGGTGCTGGTTGTAGCCATGTCGATCTAAGGACATAGGCAGACAAGGTTCTTTGGGTAAATGTGATATCTTTTATTAGAGCAACTAGATAGTTGGAAAAATTGTTCTTGTAAAATCCTCAAAGGAAATTTACAAAACGCCTTTCATAGACCAGCCTGCAAGCCTCACTTCATAAATCTACTGGATACAAAAAATCATGAACTAAATATAGACATTGGATTTATGGCACATTATAACCTGCCTGCCATCCGATAACCCAGGGGTGGGCAATTATTTCAGCTGGAGTGCCACTTAATGAGGTTTGGTGAACTTTCGAGGGCCACATGGGTAGGTAGCCCCATCCCTTGACAGTTGCCCTGCCCCTAGTCTCCATCTTGGGACCAGAAGTCCCTCCCCTTGCCCCCCACCCCCCAGAAATACTAATTTCAGGATCAGGAGGTGCCATCTTAGAACCAGAAAAAAAAAAATCATATACTAAAAGTCAAACATCTACCATAACATATTTTAATTTTATTACAAAAAATAGTTTTGTCATGATTTGTGTTTGTGTACTGTATATATCAGTGATTGCATAATAGCTGAAATATAAAGTCTTAGTCTTGTATATTGTGGGGGGGGGCATGGTAGGATGTGTGTGCATGGCTAGGTGTGGGGGAGTGTCTGATGGGGTGTGGGGGGTGTATATGGTGGAGTATGGGGGTATGTGTGTGAAGGGGGTTGGTGAGGGGGTGCAGCTGTGTGTAGGGGGGCAATAGAGTATGTTGGGGGTGTATATGTGGGAGTTGTGGGGGCAGGGCATGGATGTGTGGCATTTGTGGGGTGTGAGAAAGGGTGGAGAAGTGTGGGGACCCCCTCTTCCCTCATTGCACGCAGCTTTATAGGTGGTAGCAGCAGCAAGCGGGGATACTTGGGGTGCTTGTGCCTGGCACAGGCAGGTGCCTGGTGGCGTGCAGACTTGACCAGCACTGCATATCACAGCAAAGAGCACAGCCTCTACCAGGCCACCTCTTTTGTGGGGGTTCCCCGCCACGTATGAGTAGCTCCCGCACTTGCACACCACTGTAGGGAAGCTCCATGCCTTCGCCACTCCCTGCCACACAGGTCCCGGGACTCTGCCAGAAGGAGCCTTGGTCCCTGCTTCCCTGTGGAGTCCTGGGACCTGTGTGACAGGGAATGGTGAAGGCAGATGGCTCTAGCTTCCCTCCAGAGGTGTGCAAGTGTGGGGGCTGCGCATATATGGTGGGGACCCCCCACAATACAGGCAGCTGCACTCCTCACTGCAATATGCAGTGCCAGCTGGAGCTGCGTGCCACCGGGCACCAGCACCTGTGCTGGGCATGAGCACCCTGGGACCCCTGCCTGCTGCTGATGCTGCCACCACCTGTGGGGCTGCACACTGTGAGGGGAGTATGGGGGGACTTCCCACACCTGCCCTGACACCAACACCCTGCCTGCCTGAGTTATGTGCTGCCGCCACCCCCTGAGTGTGGGCTCTGTGCTGCCACCAGCCCCAGCCCCGTGCTCCCTGCCTCTGCCCAGCGGCAGCTCCTCCCTGGCTACACTGCTTCCCTACCTGCTGCCCAGGGCAGGCAGGATGCTGGGAAGCTGAGCAGGTCCCCTAGTGACTGCAGCAGCAGCAGCTCCACCCAGAAGCTGCACGCTGGCCGTGCTGGGCCCTTCCATCCATGAGGATGGGATTGAGGTTCAATAGGGTATGCTGGCGGGGGGGGGAGGTATACATGGGCACCTCACTCCCACCCTCATGGGCGGATTAGCTGGGTGGAGCACAATTCGTTGGTGGGTGCCATGGGCCCGATGAATGTGCCTGGTGGGCTGGATCTGGCCCGCGGGCCATATTTTGCTTGCCCCTGTGATAACCCCAGGTAACCTCTCTACATTTTACCAGCTGCATAATATCACCAGGTCAATGTTCCTCCCTTCCTGCCGCCAGCTACCTGTCTCATATCTATTGTCTCCCATGGCCCCTGTTCCTCGCTGCCACATGCTTTGCATTCTCACAGACCCGCATTTTGCATATTGGCTTCTGTTCCACCCAGGAGAACACAAAACAGCAGACTCTCCCTATCCCTGAAGAAGGGTGTTTGTGCCCAAAAGCTTGCAAAGAACAATTTTTCCAGCTATTTATTTGGTCTAATAAAAGATATAACATTTTCCCAAAGACTCTTGTCTCTTTATAGAATTTTGTGAAATCTAATCTATCTTTTGAGTTGAATTCACAGGCAGCATAGCTGCTGCCTTTCTCTGGGTGTCTCCAAACACCGCTCACTTGCTGTTTTAGCAGGCATAAATATTCTCCTTGTTTCTTTTTGCCCTGAATGTACTTTTTAATCTTATTTTCCTTTTCAGCATGCTCATGGATGGATCCAGGATCCCAGCCACACCCCCTTCAGCCAGCAGCGTGGTGTAGTCCTGGTGAAGACAGTGCATAGTGCATGTACCACACTGCTGAAGGTGGTGTGACTACATGCCCTCACTGGGATCTCAGGTTCCAGGGAGCTCTGAGCTCAGGACTGTGTCAGAACAGCACCTGTTTGGAGCTGTGAATATATTGTGAGCTCTGTGATGGGGTGAGAACTGCTGCTTCTCCCCAGCCTTTTCCCATCCTCTCTGCCTTCCTCCCCTGCTGACTTCAACATCAGGAAGAAAAGCGGAGAGGAGATGAGTGGTGGCAGTGCTCAGTCCTTGCTTTAATGCAGCTCCAGTGTCCAGCAACTAAACATCACTGCTGCTGCTCATCTCCTTTTCCCCCACTGCTGCTGAATTCAGCAGAGGGGAGGGAGGAAGAAGGGGAAGAGCAAACAACAGTAGCAATCATCCCCTAGGCTCCAGAGCTGCTTGAAAGCAGAGACTCCAGGCTGCACTGACCAGCCAGTGAGCTCAGAACTTAGAGCACATATGGAGCCCTGGCAGAGGCTGCTGCTGCTGACACGCCAGCGAGCTCAGAGAGCTTTCTGTGCATGTGGCATACAGCCAAAGGGGGCAGGGTTCAACCACACTCCCCCTCACCTGCTGAAGCTGCCCCTGTGCATGCCAGATTGAACCGATTCCTTCAGTTGCAGTCTCTGCCTTGCTCTGTACTCAACTCTAATTTAATAAATTACAGAGCTTTGGGCCAGGTAAGTGCTATGTGGGAAACCTTCAAAAAAAAAAACCCAGGTGATACTTCTGATGGTTCAATAGGTGACAATTTCCCTCAAAGTCAGCAATGAAATACTGTCCCACCATGTTGGTAACAGATGCTGCTACTGGAAGAGCTATCATTTAGACAGACATAGAATCAAAGTCTGAAAAGCCATTAAAGAGCCTGTGGTATTTATTGTGCAGGAAGGGAGTAATAATTACAATACATCCTAAAATTGCTTTGCATCCAATATATCATATAAGCTATCACTTCAGTTTCAACTGGATAAGTCATGGAGGCCCAAACTTTGTGGTACACAGGGCTAACTAAGATCTTACCAGCAATCCAAAACATGCAGATACATTTGTACATACTTGTAAGATAAAAAAAAATGAACTGTATAGCTTTAATAGCTGCTTTAACTTGTATCTTTGTTTAGTAGACAATGCTTGCTGTTAGATTCCACTGGCAAGAGAAACCTTCCAGAAGATTAGCTTTGTCCTGATATTGCATTTCTTGGTACAGGTAATATGTCCTTGCAGGCACCAGCAAACCTTTGAGTTGTAGTTCTTTCTTTTTGTGATAAGCCACTCTCTTCCCTGTATTGCCCTAATCCCTTGTGCTGCATTATTTGTGCCTCCCAGCCCAAAGGTGCCTGTGGTTCAGGACTGAATGAAAGAATCCTGATTTATGTAGTTTAAAACTTGTATTTCAAAGTGCCTTGTCCTCCATGAACAAATGGGACTAATAATTCCAGGCATTATTATACCTAGCCAGAGGTAGTTAGCCACGTTGGTTATTGTACCCAGATAATTTTTATACCATTATTATTCGGGCTGTGCAAAACGGCACCATTCCGTTTTGATTTGCTTTTCAACATTTCAATGGAACAGCGCTTCATTTTGAATTTCATTTCGATTCGAAACTGTTCCTCTGTTCAGTTTCAATGTTTCACCCATAGGCTATAATGGGGACGCTTGAAACAGCCTATAACTTTGTCATTTCTGGCCTGATTCAGATTAAACTTGCAGAAATGGTAGCCCCCCCTGAGGCCACAAAGCCTGCCAAGTTTCAAGGAGATAGGTGCAGGGGTTTGAGGGAAACTGAACCTCAAGCTGTGGACAAGAGAAACTTGTCCACATGGGTGACACTGTGTTTGTGTTAAAGCGCAGCAGGATGAAAGCTGCAGGGATGGTAGCCCCTGCTGAGGCCACAAAGCCTGCCAGCTGTCAAGGAGATAGGTGAAGGGGCTTCTGGGTTCTGGGGCCCTGCACCTCTGGCTGCTGACAGGCAAAACTCGTGACATGG